TAGTAGACGTGTTTTAAGAACCTTAAGGGGAAGCCCGAAAGGAAAAGCCCAAAGGGGACAATATCTGCTAGCGGTGGGCTTGGACTGTTACAATTGCAGTTTGAAGGAAGTGTCTAACATAAAGAATATCAGAAAATACACAGTGGGTATTTTTTATAGTCATAACTCATAATACATTACAATAAATACACAGTGGGAATGACAAACCTGCATCGAGATCAGACTTCCTTCTGATAAGGCAGCTTGCTTTTTAAGTGCATCCATGGAACTAACAAGAGCCTCAATTTCAGAGTTCTTTGCTGCCAAAGCTTCAGCCATACCTGACTCTACTCTCGAAACTTCACTTTTGGATTCCGATAAATCTTGTGCTAACTTCTTCATGCGAGCGTCATATGATCTACTCAATTCTCTCTGTTAGACGACAATCTTAACAGGTGAAAAGAAGGAAAAATAATAAAGATAGAGTGTACTAAGACCAGATGTGATAATTCTCACCTCTGCAATAAGAAGTTCCTCCAACTGTGCATTTTCAGACTTGTATTCTTGAAGACGTGATGAAAGTCCAGCACAGACCTATGCCTCGAAAAGAAAATGGTCAATCATCACTGAATAGCACGGTGTCTAAATATTGAAGAATGGAACTATTCTAAGATAATCGTTCTGGGATAAAATCGTATTCTTCAATTCTACATCTGTAATATTCTCATCATATACAGATTAAAAAAGTTCAAAAATGGGGCGTGGCCCAAGAACATACCCGAGCTAGCCTTGCTTCTTTTGACTCGCCAGTGGAATTTGAAGTTTTAAGTAACCCTTGTGCCTGCACGCCAACTAAATGAACTTTTAACAAAACTAGAAGTAGAAATAGGAATCATTCAAGCTGAAGAAAACAAATAATATGAAACTACTTACAGAACCACTATTATACCTCTTCAAGTTGGTCCTGCACTTTCGTAGGAGACTTGTCTGCTGTATTCTCTTGTTGCTTCTGATCGACTGGCGGTTGAACCTTATTAGAATAATTTTTTGTTTGATTTTCATCGTTATCCTGGAACCCCATAGTTGCAGACTCAGACATGTCCTGATCTGTCTTCGAGATAGTTTCTTCACTTCCCAATTTATTGCTCTGCGCATCATCTCGATTTTCTTTGTTGATCTCCACGGCTTCTTGATTAGGTGTAGACAATAATTGTTCCTCTTGAACATCCAAGGCATTCACATTATTTAATTCAGTATTAGAAGTGGGTGCGATAACCTCAATATCGGCAACGGCTGCTTCCATGTCATCAGGAATTTGTTTTCCTGCTTCAACTACTACGGCATCTGTTGATGGAATGTCTAAACCAGGGACGTTATTGTCGTCACCGTCTGGCTTCCTTTTGTTTACATGGGCCGTAGACTTATCAGATGCAGTCACCGTGCGGTCATCTTCATTTGAAGAAACAATTCCATCCTTTTCAGGCGCCACCACCACATCTACCGTTGACGATAATGTGCTTGTTTGTTCTTCTGCAGCGTCCTTCGATATAGAAGGCTCATTTGAGGGTAGTTTCTTCTGTGCCAAAAAATATTTAAATTCACAAAAATTTAAATAAAGCTTAACATGTGATAATAATGTATAATGTTACTATTTGTTAAAATAAGTGAGCCTAACCCACCTTTTTCTTTGGCTTGGTCTTCTTGGTTTGAGATCCTTGGCCATTAGAAGCTTCACACAACAGAAATAAAGCTATAGATGTCAGAAAACTCGAAATTTTTAAACATAAAATAGTTCAATAGATTGTTTTAGTGAAACAATTAATCATATTGATTCCAGCAAAATTCAATTTAACCAAGTATTTTAGCTTTAGTAAGCAATGAAATAAAAACATGGAAAGAAATGAGCATAAATCATATAAATATGACATAAACCAAGATGCATACCTGGAGTTTGAATATCAGACTGCTCTTCTGATAACTCACTGACAACAAGCTTTGCCCTGCGATCTACGACTTCAAACAGTCCTAACAAAAGTGAATGACTTCTGAGATATTTCTATGCAATAATTCTTACACAGGAACGCGTCAAAATCGAATCCGATGAATTTCAAAATCCGTGTAGAAAATTAAAAGCTATACTTCGATATGAGTTGAAAATTGATGAAAAATCGATTCGGATCAGAACGAAACACATATGCAATAGAAACCGAATAACATCGAACCTTCCGCAGCTTTGAGCCAAGAAGCCATTAGAAAGCCGAAACTCGGATCGGAAACAATGCGGAGCCCACCAAGATGTAGCCGAGGATTTGATGAATCGAAGAGTGTAATTCTAAACGACGACGTTGCGATAGCTCGAATTGGGGATCTTACTTAGCCAAAGGACACTTCTAGCTCTACGGAAACACTACAATGGCGGTAAATCGGCCACCGAGTGCGACGGACGATTGCAGGGAAATGAGAATTTCAGAGGAAGGCAGTCGTTAGTGAAGGAGTCTGTTCTGATGGACGAGTGAAATTGAAGGAAAACGCGGCAACAATGATCGGGTGCTGTGACGACTACGGCGCCGATTATGTTCAACCAGTGTAGAGGTTCCACATCGCCAACCAAGTGTCTTTTTCTTTTTCTTTTTTTTTTCTTTTTCTTTTTTTGTTTTTGGAGTTTAAGAAAATTGCTAAAATAAAGGTTAAATTGTTAAAAATTAATTTACAGAAATTGTTCTTTTTAGTGGAAATGCAAGGTATCGATTTCCGTACGCTCTACCATCTATCATCTGAGCTACATCCCGAGGGTCTTAAAATATAGACAAAAATATATAATAATATAAATATAGCTAAACAAACGGGCTGAACTACCAGCCCAGCAAACTCGGCCCAATAGCCTCTTTAGCTGAATGAAGTAAATGGGCTCGACTATCAGCCCATCAACGATCGGCCCAATAACTTCTATCTGATTGGAGCAAATGGGCTCGATTACCAGCCCACTTCTCCAATTTCATTTTCACTTTCACGCTATTTTACCCAAATCAGTCGCAAACAAAGCTGGTTTTATCTCGAGTCTTTCTAGAAAATTTTATGTCTTCGAATTGAATATATTTTAAACATTATATTATATATACTTATATATTAATTTTTATGAGTTTATATTTTTCAAAATTTAAATATCAATCGACCAAAATATTACCAAAATTTAAGTCAATTTTAAGGAATTAAGGAGGAGAAAAATATTGCCTCTTTTGCCAAAATTTAGACAAAACTTAAATTACACTCATGTTGAGTGAGAGGTCAAAAAAACCTTAATTACCTTTACATTGTTGCTTATTGTTTACTCATAATTATTATGTCTAATCTTACTTTTAATGAGTAATAATTAAAAGTGCAAAAATTTAAACTTTTAGCACTTAAATTATAAAATTTAACTAACACTTACATGCAGAAAGCCAAGACATTAAGGGTCTCTCCATAATTTACTTTTAATAAATTCAGATATTTAATAATAAAATAGATGTTGAATGACAAAAGTTCGATTTGGTTAATTATGAACGATAATGAATAAAAAAGACAACTTTGTAAAAGAGTTAATGATAACGCACCTGACTCGTAAAAAAATATATGCACGCTGATTATTCCATAAAGTAAGACCATAGTCGTGTCAAAAAAGATACACGTGTTCAGATCAAACTTTTGTCGTGTTTTATACTCAAATAATTTTTTTTTTGTTCGAGTTAGTAAAAGCATTTCAACTCGAGCACTCCGAGTTGATGACCATAAGTAGTTGTGCCAAGTGGGAGGACAAAACGAGCTATTACTATATTATTTTGCATCTATGACTCACTCGATAAAGTCAAATCAATTCAATATTACTTCTTCAATTCTTAATAGGTTTGGAGACATATAACCTTGTAACCACGTAAAGGTATGAAACGAGAACCGCAAATAGTATACCAAATTGAACACACATCGCTATACAAAGAGACCTATAATAAATCTCAAAGGCAACCTTTCAACAACCATGAAAAAAGCAACCTAGAGAGAGAAATCTTAACATATGGGGTACCCGAGAAAGAGAAAGGGATAGCTTTTAAGTGTATATAGAGAAATCTTTAAAGTATGATGCTATACGAGCATCGATCCATTACCAAAAAGCTGAGTCCTAAATTTAGATCAGACTAAGATAAATGATCATATATTACGAATGATAAAATATTCATAAAATGTCGTACCAAATATAACTATATTTTATTTTTCTTTTAAATTATTTAAGCAATAAATGGTATATATTCAAATTAAATGTAAGCAAATGATTCACATAATATCACTTCAGCCATTTATTCTACTTAATCCAAAACTAGTGGATGAAACAAAAGGAATCAAAATTTCTGTCGATTTTCATTAATATTACATGTCAATTTTTAAAACTTTGAACCTTTTATTTCAAATTTAAAATTTTATAATATTTAATTTTAAAATATATATATATAAGTCTACCATGGTTGGATGTGTTTGAACCTATGCACCGCTCACTCAAAAAGAAAAAAAAAATACTGCTCACATCTATTATTCTTATAATTATAAAATTTTAGTTAAAAAATTATTAAGGCTAATTAACCATTTAATAATAATTTAAAATAATTTAAAATTCACAAACAAATTATATAACCGATAGCTTAGTCTCAGATTCATAGCCTTTCCTGAAATATTATATACTAAAAATGAAAAAAGAAATGTCACTTAAATTAAAACATAAACTCTAAAACTTAAATAAGATTCACAACTAAAATTTATTGAAATTACTTGAGAAAGAAAAAAAAAAAAGTAAAAGATGAAGAAAAAGGAAGTAATTATCCAAACTTATAGATATAAACTGCTTGAGCTTTGAAACTGACATGGCTGAGAATCAATCACGTCTCTCGAGGCCATTAGACACGTCAATTCGACGTTCATTAATGGCGATGTGTAACTGTAAACAACAAGCAGATTCATCGCCAAACGCCGATCGGAAAAGCTGTAAGAGTTCGATTTCATCGGCACAGTGTGTTCCGAAACGGCGATTCATAAGCTGCTAAGCTTTTCTCCAGCCGTAGATCTGTGTAGAACTTCTTGATGAATTCCTCGGCTGCTTTATCGACGATCTGACTGTCACTGTCGTCCTTGAGAGAAAACGGTGAATCTGTAACACGCAACTGCCGTACAACTAGCGGACTCTTTCCAAATCCAGGCAACGGCACTAACGGCGACGCCTCAGATTTCTGATCGCTATGAAGAATATCAAGAACTCTCTGGACGGCCGTAACGGTGGAGAAATCGTCGTAGCGGTAAGATTTGGGGAAATAATGGCGGTTTTGGTGTTTTCGATGTTTGTTGAAGTAACGGAACGGATACGCAGGACTGTTACTGCAACTGAATTCGTAATCGCGCGTTGAGATGTAGGAATTGGCGATGTCAATCGTTTGGCAACTGAAAGCAGATCCGTGATGAAATTCCACGAGATTTGCCATCGCTTTTCCTGCGAGTTTGCTTCGTTTGAGCATTAAATGAAGATCGAACACAATCTTGCTTTTGTTTAGCCCTTTCCTCAACATGAACACAACCGCTCTCAACACGTTCCATAGCTTCTTCTTCACTGCCGGCCGAATCGGCTCAATTTCCATCGCTAACAAATAAACAGAAAATCAGAGGAAATGCGTAATAATGCCGCCTTGTTCTTCCTCGCTCTGAATTAGAAAGAGAACTGATTTCTTTTTTTAATTTTTTCCTGTTTTGAGGAGATTGAACTTGATCCGAGCGGGATATATAAAGGGAACTAATGGTACATAGTGAGGAATATCATCCCAATCTCGTTTACAGCGCGTGTTTTCAACTAAGAAACAGAAGCTCGATAAAGTTAATGTTGTTTTACACGCGCTTATCGAGCGAGTTGGTGTGAGATTTGTCTTTTATTTCGTTATGAATAGCCAAAACAAATAAATAAAATATCTAATAAAAAGGCTAATATTTCTTGGGGGTTTTTTTTTCCCCCCCTTAAAAGAATTGAAATCAAATTAAAATGAAATTCCCTTGTATATGAATTAAAAAAGTTGGACTTCCCTTGATGTGTCCCAATGATTACATAAATCATGATCCACCACCTTTGCCCAAATATCAAGTTACTAGGTGACATGAACTCCAAGTTTTAAAGTTTTTGATGATTAGCTTCTTGAAATTTCCCACCCATCATTTTATTCCAAAATAGAATTTTTTTTAAAAAAATTAAAATTATAAATTTAATAAATTTTAAATTTTAAATTTGTGTTTCATAAATTAATAAAATTTTAAAAAAATGTTCAAGTGATGGAGCTTCTATCAAATATATAATTTAAATTAAATACCGGATTAAAAATCTAAAAAAAAATTAGACATTTTTCCTTCATTTTAGTACATATTTGACATAAATTTAAAATTTAAAAAATTAAATAAAAATAAACTAATATAATAATATTATAAATTATAAGACGAATAGTATTGTATTATAAATTATAGGTCGAATAGTTCAACCTAGTGATAATTTAACTAATTAAAACTTTATTTAAAAAAATTAATTCAAATATTAATTTCCTTACTTGAATTCTCTACCATTTTAGTTTTGTGTTTTCAATGGTTTAAATTTAATTTATTTACTTTTAACACATCTTATATTTAACCATTTATACTTAATTTGTATTGAATTTTTTAAAATAATAATACTAATTTTCATTCAATGAGAAATATATTTTAAAAATTTATAAAGGGAAGTTTATATAAACTATATATATATATATAGAACTAAAAATATACGGACAGATTTATATATTTAAAAGTATCCTTACTAAAATAGAACTTAAAATGATATTTTAAGCCTAATTTTATTAATTAATATGGAGACCACTCGGATTCAAAGAAGAAAACAATAATAACAAAAGATATCTAAAGTAGCAGGCCATGTGACAAATTACACATGAAAGAAGGATAAAGTGCAAATTTGTTTTTTATTTTCCTTTTTTGTGCCTTAAGGAAAAAGGAAATACAAGAATTAAACGAAGGGGAATCTAATTTTTACTTTTTTTTTTAACAAATACTATTAATAAAAAAAAAAAAAAAAAAAAACAAACAAGGCATTTCTGAACCGGAGTGTCTTTTCACGTGGAAGAGTGTGTTCGTCAAGGAGCTTTTGGGTTATTTTATCGATCCTAATGTTGCTTCGTTTTTATGAGACAGGAACCAGTGGACGGCTCTGGATTATTCCCTTTGGGTCCGGTTGCATGGGAGCCCGAAGGAGGTGGCGCGGTTCTGGTTTCGGTGACCACGGTCGCAAAGCAGATTCGGTCATCTCTTCACGAGTTTCGGGGTGGACAAGATGGATGATGCGAGTCCTGCCCCACTCTCCTGGGGTGTTGGGGCTGTGTGTCCGGTTTGTGGGGGCGCTGGTGGGTCAGGTTTCTCGGCGATTGGCATGGTGGATCCCTCTGTACGGTACTACGGTGGCTCCCTCCACCGGGAATTTTTTTGGGTGGAATCTCCCCTCGATCCGATAAAAATAAATAGAGCATTTTGTAGAGATAGATAATGAAATAGTTGGTGAGACTGAAGTCCGATTAGCCTATACCACAAGCATTTGTATTAAATATAATAAAAAGATAATATCATTCCATTTAATATTAATGCATCCTATTTACATTTATCTTTTAAAAATTAAATGGGGAATTACATTCATTTTAACCCTCCCTTAGTTCCAACTCGTATGAAACTTTTATATGTTTATGACAAAAAAATAATAACAATAATAAATAAATAAATAATAAATGGGTCACAATAAATGTCCAAGGAATAAAATTAAACCCCTAAAACTTGATGGATTAAAAAAATAATAATTAATTAACTTTAACAACTTTTAATACTCAATGCGAAATTGAATAAACTAACCGAATAAATAGTTACTCCCAATTTACTAAATAGTTTTGTTAAAGTAGAAGACAAATTTAATATTCAAATTCAATAGGGGAGAGACTTGACCCAACTTCTTTCATTTTCCACCTTAAATGCATTGCAAGCGCTACAAAATATAATATCCAATAAAAATAAATAACTAAATAACTAAATAGAAATAAATGAAAGCTTAAAGAATGTTCTCCGCTGCGTTTTATACCACACGCCGCCCTCGGCAGCCAGCTTTAGAAAGTTGGCAGATTAAATTTCAGAACCTAACAAAATGACACGTGTCGTTTTATTACGCTTCGGAAAAACTTAAATATTAATTTTTATTTATTCAAATATTTATACCTTATAGTTTATGAACATAATACTTTAATTGTATTATTAATCTTGTAAATAATTCAATCGCATAAATACAATAAATTTCCTATGACTTACTGCTATTTAAAATAGTATTAAATATTTAGTACAACCTTTGAACTGAAATTCTCTCATTTTATATCTTTGTGTTATGTGAATTATTTATGACGTCGTCGCTTTGAGTTTGTTTTATTTTAATGCTTTGGATATATCCGATAAAGGTCTATTAATCTCATCATGACTGTTATTTATTTCAATTATTTTGATTCTTTTATTAAAATTATTCTACCTAACTAATATTTGATCAATTATTTCCATTTTTTATTTATAATCTTTGTTAACATTTTAAAAATAAGTACTAATAAAAAGTTTAAATATATATTTTAAGTTTTTATTTTTTTTTTTAAAGTATTAATAAATTTTTTAAAAGCTTAAAGAGTATTTTTGTAATATTTTAAAATATTAAGAGTAATTTCGAACCATCGACCCTTAATTTATTCAAAGCTCATTATTATTTTATAAGATAAATACATTATATCCTCTACCATACTCGATAGCATATTAAATGACGGTCGACATATTAATGGAAACAAATTTAGGACAATCAACTTCTCAACTAAAAATTTCCATGCAGCAGCAACAATAATAACTATAATTGATTTTGCCCATAAGTCTTCCTTCATAGAACTATTAATCATTAATTTTCGGAAGAAAAAACAAAACAAAATTAAAATATTAAACAGTGAAACGACGTCGTTGAGTTTGATAATTACGGCGGCCTACGACATTGAAAGTTGATATATTATATTATGTGATCATAAAAATAAGAGCTTAATTATATTTGAAATGAAAACCAACCCACGAAACGACTTGTACTTCTACTTTTTATTTTAAATTTAATCTATTTAGATTTTCTATTATTATATACAAATAAAAGAATTTCTTCAAAATACTCTGAAATATTAAGCCATTTCTATTTTTTTTAATAAAATTAAATATGGTCGTGGACAAAATAAAAGACAAAATTATTTATTATTATTGGTGTTATAAATAAATAATAATTAAAAAAAAGCCAATTTTGAAATTTTGATTTGGAGCCACTACAATAATGGGAGTGAAAGCTGTACTTGAATGTGAAATTGTGGAGAGAGACCAGTTTTCTTTTTTTTCTTTTTTTTTTTTTTTTTTTTTTTTTTTTTTTTTTTCTCTTTCCCACTCAGTATATATAATATGTATTTAATATATATTAATTTTTTAATAATAAAGCAAGAATGGGCGTAGGACCGTTTAGCTGGCCGGTTCACTTTCGCTATTAAATTCTGTTTTTTTATTTTGAATATCCGTAAATAAATTAATATTTATTTTATCGATGGTAGAAGATAAGGATCCCGAGGCATTTTTTGAGTCTCTTATTCTTGTCTCATTCTACGAAAATTCATTAATGACATAACAAGGTCACGTTGAAATAAATATAGAAAGCAGTACCACCTTCATAGAAGCGCTACAACAATAAAATTTTAAGTTTAACTTAACGGGTTAATATAGCAACGTCCCTCCACCTGTCTACTAGCTACTAAAATTTTCTAAATTAGAGCCTCGAAATTAGGTCCTTTTGGTTTGATATCTAAGTTATAAGATTAAGGATCGATGAATTTTGTATAATTGCTCAATGAAGATGAAAATCATCTCGGTTTAGGTCCTTTCATCTTTCTCTAAAGGCCATACTTTAAAAATATCTTTTTCAAAAACCGACCTTCGTGGGCCAATAAGGTAGCTGGTGTGACTGGGTACGCTACCCAGAAGCCCTAAATGTATATACTAATAAAGAGATGGCTTGCTTTCCTCCTTCCCTTCACCTCTAGATCAACAAAAAAGACTGGCCTAAAAGAGGAAGACATTTTTTAGGTTTGAATCTTATAAGAGTGAATTTTACGAGAATATATCAAAATTAATAATTTAGTTATTTTCAATATTTATTAGTCATGGTTGGAATAATAAAAGATTCTATAAATACGAAATAAGATATTTTATTATAATACAAAGAAATTAACGGTATAAAAAGTAATAATAATTATCCAAATAATAAAGGACTGGCTTCCACCTGCCAACCCAATCACAATGAATTAAATAAATGGCGAAAAAACAAAAAACCATCATGAATAAGTATACTTTTTTGGGTTAATGCAACATTATGATATAATTATTGAGCAATTAAGGTTTGGATAACAATTTGCTCTTTCACTAAAGCGTTACTTTTTCAGGCTAAAAGAGAACCCCAAAACTGTTACTCATATGGGACATCATCATTGTTTGGGTAAGCATGCTTCTAAAGAGGAACCCAAAG